AGCATTAAAACATGTTGCTGATATGATGTGTGAGTAGTGTGAGCCCTAGGTCATAAGATGCATAGGCAAGTTCGAGCCAGTGGACATCCTGGAGCCAGTTAGCCAGTCAGATGCTATCGGTTGAAGCCATGTGCAGGTACTTTTGAGTGGGTTGGTAGAGTAATGAGTAGAATTAGAGAATTATAGTGACCAAGAGAAAGGTCATAGTTGGAGAAGGCCCTAAGATGGCTAAAGAGAAAAGTATCCCCATTTCAGACAATCTTATGGTTCCTGATAGAAGATTGAAAAAATCTCTTATGCTCTTTATAAGGAGACGACTGATGTCAACTCTCTACTACCCTTTTGGCTAGAGGACAGGCGAAAGCCTAGCTAATCTGAAGTAAACTACTCTTAGGCACTAGTGGTGTCTAGGTGGGCGAGCGTCATAGGGTCACGAGTGTGGCACAGTGTCTCCTCAGATCATGGTAAACCCGAGAATAGTTAGGTCGATCGGCCTCATATCACACCTTCATGTTGAGCCATGGAGTTATGCGATAGCGTTCGCTATGCCCCTCGATTTCCCTTTCTTGAGCCAGAAGGATCATAAGATGGTGTTTGCGTACGAAGTGCACCATCAAAGGATGAATGGGCAGCAAGTAGGCATGCTGGTAGACCTTTATGGCCAATCAATAGAGGGGTACTGCAGTTGGGGCAACACATCTAAGTCCTTTATATGGGACTAGCATGATGTTAGATGTTAATCATGTGTGTGGGTAGCCTAAATTGAGGCTAAGGACTTAGGCCCTAAGAACTGAGTTTTGTGGGATGAGAGGAGCCTAAAGGCTTCGGGCTCCAAGCTGGCTGTTGACTAGCGTATGTATTTTGTCAACGAGATCTTAACACGAGAGGTTGCCTACGATGCGGGCAGGCATGGTGTTAGGTTCTCACCATGCTAGAAAGCAATAATATCATGAGAACTAAGGCTGTATGCTCCTATGAGAATTTGAGGGTCAGTGCTCAAGACTTTAAGCCCTGCAGGTTGAGATTGGTGCACGAGGCCACCGTGAGAATTGTGGGCTGATGTATTGATAGGAGTTGGGTTCCTCCTTATCGAGTTTGAAAATGTACGACTTTACGGGGTCCGAGCCAATAAAGGCTCACTAATGTGTGGCTTGAAGGATCTATAATGAGCAATCCATGGGAAAATAGACTCGAGAAAGGCAAACCTTGAATATGTGTAGTCTTGGTGCCGCATAGATGTGTGGTTTCAGAATAAGGAATGTGTAGCTTGTGACACTAGGCCTATTCTTGTATAGTATAAACAATTTTTTGCACTCCATGCGATAAAAAAAAAATGAAACCATAAACACATATTATTGGGCTTCTGGAAACATACGAAGAAAAGAACAAACAAGAGATCATGAAGGCATATACATGTTATCTTTCACTGCCATTCTCTGACTTAAGCATTGTGATGTGAAAATTTAAAATAAAATACGGTGACACAATAAATTATATAGATTAAAATTTTAAAAAAATTTATGTGTTTAGAAGAATAATAAAATATATTTCATATTTTTTATATTAACATAAATTATAACATATAATTTTTATATAAAACATTATATAAATTTATGAAATATAGGGTCTATTATCATTCCTATGTTTAGCTTCAAAGTAATGGGCTATTTTGTATCTTTTTCATTAATTACAAACCTCCTCGTTCGCCAGAAAGATAACATTTATTTTCATCATAGCTTCAGGAGGTGGGAACCATACTAAATCCTCCTTTGCACTTGGTCGTCTTTTGCATCAACTGATTTACGTTGATATTGTATCATTAACAGCGCCATAATAAATTGTTTTGTATGGCTCTCTAAAGGGTTTTCCATGGTCGAGTAGGCCGTAAGCAAGGCCTTAAACTTTTGAGCCATTTGGGCTTTTGTAATAGGCTGAGTGTCACGGTCCTCAGGTTCCTCCTTCTGAAATCATGCGACCGTACGACACCTAGACTACTCGTAGTCAAGGTCAGCCTTTCCCTAGTCCATATTCATTGGGCAGATTAATTTCGATCCTTCCAACTGTACACCCACGAGCCTTTTTTTGGCTTTGATCTCGTAAGGTCACTCATTTCGAAGTCTATAAAGAGGAACCCAACTCTCATTGCGCACCAGCCCGTGATTCTCCAAGTGACCCTGAGCACCCAGCTTTGGCCGCAAGGTTTAAAGCCTCGAGCGTCGACCCTCGAATCCCCGTAGGGGCACACAGCCCCGATTCTCATGATATTATTACTTCTTGGCATGGTGAGAACCCAACACCATGTCTGCCCGTAACGTACGCAAGCTCCCGTATCCAGTTTACGCAAGCGCCACATTTAAGCTGGTCAGCAGCCAGCTCGGAGCCTCTAGGCTCATCTCGTCCCACGGGACTCGGATCTTAGGGCTTAGGCCCTTAGCATCAGTATCGGCTGCCCGCACGCATGATTGACACCAACCATCATACTAGTCCCGCAAGGAGACTTGGGTGGACTGCCCTAGCTGCAGCACACTTCTACCGACTGGTCACAAGGGTCTAGCATCATGCTTGCCTGCTAGTCCGTGTGTCCCTCAGGCTCGATGGTATCCCTCCTATGCAACACCATCACATGATCCTTCCAGCTCAAGGAGGGGAAATCGAGGGCATAACGATCTCTATCGTGCAACCCCATGGCTCAAAGCAAAGGCACGATATGAGGCTCGTCGGCCCCAACGTCCTCGGGTTTACTTGACCCGAGGAAACATCGTGTCTACGATGCTCGCCTACCTAGACACCACTAGTGTCTAGGAGTAGCTCACTTCAGACTAGCCAGGCCCCCGCCTGCCCGCTAGCCAAGGGGTGGTGGAAAGCTGACACCAATCGTCCCCCCTATAAAAAGCGTTAGAGATTTTTTCAATCTCCTATCAATGACCGTAAGATTGTCTGAAATGGGGACACTTTTCTGCCCAGCCAACTCAGGGCCTTTCTCCGGCTAACTCAGGGCCCCGTAACCTTCCTCTTGGTCATCATTGCTCCTTGATTTTGCTCGTTGCTCCACCAACCCACTCGAAGGTGCCCGCATATGGCTTCGACCGACAGCACCTGACTGGCTAGCTGGTCCCAGAGCACCGACGTACTGCCTCACACTTACTTGCGTATCTTGGGGTTTAGGGCATGGACCATCTACGCACAATATCCCCAACATATTCTCAGGTTCCGAACGTCCGCACACTGTTTTCACAGATGGCACCTGTCAGGCTACTTGGCTTAAGGGTGTTCGACCACTGTCCTGAACTTTTTCGCGTATCTTGCGGCCCAGGGCTCCCATTGCTCCCACAACATGTTAGCAATATGTTCCAAAGCTCCGAATGCAAGTCCGCATTCCATAGAACCGCTTTCCGGTCAGCTCGATTTCGATCATTGCTCGGTTCAAGGTCAATTATGACAGGACCAAAGGCCTGGCCATGACACTGAGCGTGTCATCAACTTTTTTTTTTTTTTTTTGGTCCATCAGAAGGATTTTTAAGGGATAAAAAAGGGGGCAAGGATTGTCCAAGGTTGAGTTTGATGCCAATTTGCAGAAGCACTCGTGAAGCTGACTCACCTACGTCACTCTAACTGGAACCACTAAAATCTGCTGCTATTGTCTAGATCCCATAATTCCATCAAATTCGCAAAGCTATAATTTTGGATTTTTTTTTTACTCAGAAAGTTATAATTTGAAAATAAAAAATTATAAACATTAAATTTAAATTTTAAAATTATTAAATATTATTTTTTAAAAATATTTGTAGGAATAAATTGAATTAAATTATGAGTTCAGTTTTCAATTTTTTTTATACTTTTATTCATATATGTATAAGAAGCAAATTCACGTGTATGCGTGTGTTGGATATTCGAAACATTTTGCATCATATTTAGTCTGAAATTAATTTGAGCAAGTTCAATGAGTATCACCATTTACATGTGCGAATTAATGTCGGCAGTAGGAAAGAAATGGAAATTAAGGTGATGTGCCTCTTGCAATTGTTGACATAAGTTTCATATACAAGTTTAGCCATATGAAATTGATCAATTGATCTAAAAGTTTTTACCTTTACTACCAAAAATTAAAATTTTCAGAACATCAATATTAATTCTAATTATAATAAACTAAAAATTTATTACATTAATTTCATGCAACAACATATTGAATGCATGTTTTTATTTTAAAGTAATGTTCAAGAATTTAATTGAGAAATATTCATTTAAAAAAATTGAATTTAAATATTTAAAAATAAAAGGTGAAACCTATAAAAAGAAATGAAGAGAAAAATATTTGCATTTGGATAAGAGTTGAAGTGCGATGTGATTAATGACGACTGACGAGTGTAAAGTACACTCACCTCGTGCTTCAATTGGAATTTAAGTGTGACTACCAAAAAGTGAAAGCAAAAATAAATGAAGCTATGGTGCCCGTTAGCCTAACTTCCTCACCATTCCATTGCACAGAGGAGAAAAAAAAAGGGTTTATGATTCTAACATTTACCTTACTTTCCTTATATGAAAGATCCACCACTTTTAACCGGTTTAAAAAAAGACCCACGCTTGCCATGCACCTTCGAATTAAAAAGGATATAAAATTTGCCAATGCTTTAAGATTTTCTTATAGTTAGATTTGATAATTAATATATTTATATTTTATTTGTTTTATATAAATTAAATATAAAAATTACCGTATTACAAATTGTGTTCTTATGCTAAACATAAAATTTTTATTCTTGTTAAAATTATTATAATTTTTTATTAAAATTTTAAATTATTTTTTATTGTTTTTGTGTGGTATTTAAAACTATAAGTCTAGACTGTTTCTGGACGTGCAAGAAGACTTTTTTTACATCTATATAAGATAATGTATATATCTACCCATCCCAGCTGTATTAATGTATCTTCCTGTGTGTACGCCTAAGATGGAGTACCTGCAAGGAAATAGATTAGTATTAATCTATGTACCCTTTTAAACATGTGTGGAAAAAAGGAATAGCCATGGAATTCGGCATGTGCTTTTCTTGACTCCATAGCTAGCTTTGAGCTTCATCCTCCCTTTTAAAAAGGGTCTTTTCTTTGGAGCTAGAACGCACAAAAACAGCCGCCAAAGGCCAAAGAAATATGGGAGCTACGTGCACTCCGAAGAAGCCAAAAATCATACTGGTTCCATATCCAGCACAAGGCCATGTGACTCCCATGCTTAAGCTAGGCTTAGCCTGCCTTAACCATGGGTTTCAACCCATCATTGTAACCCCAGAGTTCATTCACCATCGGATCGTAGCCAACATGGACCTCAACGATGAAGTTAGGTTCCTGTCAATTACAGATGGCTTAGACGAAGAGGGTCCTCATGATTTCTTCGCCATTGAGAAAGCTATGGAGAATATCATGCCAATACATTTGGAGAGTCTCATTCATAAAGTTGATGCAGAAGAAGAAGGAGATGGAGGAGTGGTTTGTATGGTTATTGATTTGCTAGCTTCATGGGCCATTCAAGTTGCCAGCCGATGTCGGATCCCTGCCGCCGGTTTCTGGCCAGCTATGGAAGCCACTTATCGGTTGATCACCTCCATACCGGACATGATCCAGTCGAACATGATTTCTGATACAGGTAAATTTGCCAACACACATGATCTTTTTTAGCACTTACTATAAATATATATTTATTTTCTTTTTTTGATATTGCCATTCATTTTTAATTTTAGAAAATATTTTTGGTCTACTATATATCCAAAATTATATGATGTACAACTCACGAGGGATTAGTTTAATTGGTCATGAAAGGAATTTTTTCCTTATCAGTATGAATTTAAATTTTGTGAGGAGTATTTTAAAAGTAAAATTTTGAATTTTAAAAGTAAAATTTTGAAATATAAAAAAAATACATCCTTAAAATCACTCAATAAAAATTAGGTAAAAAAAATCTAAGATCTTCCTGTCACAGTAAAAAAAAATTTATATGGTGTAAATATTTATTGTTTTGTTATGTAAATGTGTTTGTTGCCTTGCAAATATGATTGGTTTTATATATATAAAAAATTTTGTTTGAGATAAGACAAAAAAATGAGAGCATGAAATCATTAATGGCTTTAATAGATGCTAAGAAAAAGAAGAAATATTATATATATATATTTATATTTATATATATAAGATAACATTTTTTATTTGGCCAAAAAAATATAATATATATTTTTTGTAAAAACATGAGGATAAATCTTAAGTGCAGTTCCTAACATGAAATTCTTCATAATTCATAATAAAATTTGTCATGCATAAAAGTATTTCATTTGAGTATACCTTTGATTTTCTAACTTCAATTCTCAATGTTATTTTAAAAAATAATAATAAATAAAAAAAGAAACTCTCAATGTTGGATCACTAATCTTTTTACACATGCCATAATTTAATTTATAAGGAAGTTTAACAAACTTCAAGTAAGGAAATAAATGTGTATGTCTTCAACTAAATATTAAAAAGAAAAAGAAATAAATGTCCACGGGTTGACCCAAATACAAAATTTAAAAGGAAATCTACTCGTGATAATTCATTTCATTAAAATATTTTTATCTATTTTATTATATGAGTTAGTGGTACAGGAGAAATAATTTTTTAAGTTGAGATCCTCTCTATGATTTTCTTTTTTGTACATCATTTTTCAATATGTTTATCATCAATTGGTGAAATCCATACATGTAAATAATGATGAAAAATGTATTAAAAAGTAATTACTAGAGAATTAATCTCTAATGTCCCTCTAATTTTGCTGGGTAATTTCAACACTCAATATGCTGCCTTTCATGGTTGCATTTATCTAACACTTTATAAATTTATAATTTAAGGGCATTTTCGTTTTTGCAGGATGTCCCCAACATCATGGAACCATTGTGTTCTCCCTGCCGAGTCAGGCTTCGCTATCAACCCAAGATCTCCCATGGTTAATTGGAACCCAAGCTTCAAGAAAAGCAAGATTCAAATTTTGGAACAGAACCCTGGAACGTTCAAGAACTCTTCGATGGCTCCTGGTGAATTCCTTTCCCCAGGAGTACATTGATGATGATGATGATGATGGTCATATCTCTCCGGTTGACAATCCAATTGTTTTTCCAGTTGGGCCTTTGACTAAAGCTCAATCAATGGTGAAGAATCCTAGCTTTTGGGAAGAAGATGTTAGCTGTTTAGATTGGTTGGACAAGCAGAAGCCTAACTCAGTCATCTACGTTTCATTTGGGAGTTGGGTTAGTCCCATTGGAGACTCCAAAATCCAAAGTCTAGCATTGACACTTGAATCATTAGGGCGACCATTTATTTGGGTGCTGGCCGATGCATGGCGACAAGGTTTACCAAATGGGTATTTGGAGAGAGTTTCAAAGCAAGGCAAAGTGGTTTCATGGGCGTCACAATTGCAAGTGCTGCAACACATGGCAGTGGGCTTATATCTCACACATTGTGGGTGGAATTCGACAATGGAAGCCATTCAATGCCAGAAACTACTCTTGTGCTATCCGGTCGCTGGCGATCAATTTGTCAATTGTAAATACATTGTTAAGGTTTGGAAAATTGGAGTGAAGATTAATGGATTTGGACAAAAAGATGTTGAGGAAGCTCTGAGAAAGGTGACAAATGATGGTGAAATGAGGGAAAGACTGAAAAGGCTATGTCATAGGACCATGGGAGAAGAGGCTAATTCTAGAGTTATGGCTAATCTCAAGGCTTTTCTTTTGGACTCAACCAAGAATTCACTTCCCTAGAAGATGTTAAACATTTTAGTTTGTAATTTTTGTAAGAAGATACACTAACAATGCACAATTTTACCACTAAACTTTGTTCAAAAGCACATTTAAACTGAAAATTTTTTCTTTAAGTTTAATTTAAAATCTTTATTCCCAAACACCCAAATATTTTAGTAGTTGATACATATCCATATTTAAAAATAAAAAAATATGATGCTTTTAAACTTAATTTACAGTATGCTAACGAAGTTTTGACTTAATAATAAAAAAAAGATGAGATCCTAAATTCAAATCTCACTTTAAATAGATTTGTTTTAATTTTATATTAGATTTATCTAATTATATTTTAATTTGTTGATTCATTATTTTGTTTGATTATTCAATTATGTAATACTTGATTATAATTGTAATTTGTATTTGTAATTTCATAAAAAATTATAATTATAATTAATTGAAAAAAAAAACTTATTTTACAACCAATTTACCCAATTGCATACATTTTTGCCTCAAAGAAAGGGACAAAAAATAGAGATTCATGCAAGTGTTTCACACCAACTCAATGGCATGTCATCGTTTAAAAAAATATAAAATAACTACACCAGATTTCCTTTGAAAAAATAGTAAAAATAAAAATTCTTAAAAGGAATGCTCCTACCATGCAATAGTTTTAAGATGTCTCAAAATTATATCATTTTTTAAATAATTGTAATATAAAAACAAGGGAAAAAAGGAGAGAAGTGTGGAAATAAGATAATAATCACACTCCTTGGTCAAGAAAAAATAGCCCTACATACAATCTTCAAACACAAATACATACATAAAAGAGTGGAATTAAGATAATGGTCTCACACTGCTTAGCCAAAACAAAAGCCGTACGCACAATCTTCAAACACAAATAAATACATAGTGTAAACACCCTAATTGGTTTAGGCCTAAGCCCATTGGGCTTGGTTCAATAAGATCCAAACTTAAGTTCATTGGGCCTAATAACAGGATCCAAACCACCAAGCCCAATTGTTCATTTATTTATTTGTTTATTTATTTATTTTGGGTTTTATCTTTTTAGATTATTTATTTGTTTTGTTTATCACTAATTTTTCATTTTTTTATTTTATTAGGTGGTGACAATGGAAAAATAAAAAATAAAAAAATAAGTAAATTTGGTCGTGACTAGGATGGTAGAATTATACATGGATTGAATCTGTTTTGTGATGATCTTGTCCAAGGTGGACTCATAATCGAACATGAATTCCTTTAATTTTTCCTTTAAATTGACACACTACTTAAGCAGAGAAACAGAGAGAGAGAACAAAAAAGTAGAGGAATAGAGAGAGAGAGAACAAAAAACATAAAGATCAGAGAGACAAAGATCACACAGTAACAGATTAGGCAAAAAGTAGACAGAATAGGGAAATTAAAGTGATCACACACAGAGAAAATATATGGCAGAAAGCATAAAGGTCAGAAAAATAAGAAAAAAATTTTTAAAGATTTTTGAAAAAATCTGAAAAATTCTCAAATTCAGACGAAATTTCTCATTTTTCGACATCGGTTGAATTTTCTGGTAAACTTTTTGGCATCGGTTGAATTTTTTGATAGACTTTCTAGAATCTGGTGGAGGATCCCTGTGTCGGTTAAATTTTTTGACGACTATCTAGCAAACCAACCCAGATTTTGACAGCACTCCTCAGAATTTGGTTGATATTTAACCAGAGTTCATCCGATTGGAGAGAGAGGGAGAGAAAAAAAAAGAAAGAGAAAGAGGGAGAAAGAGAAATCTGAGGAAAAAGAAGAAATTCGACCTTTTATAGCATCACCAAAATGATGCCATTTTGACGTTTAAAAAGATCTAAGATTCGCATGTTTTCCTTTTTGTGTGACCCGAATCGACATAACCCGATTCGTTGACTTACGTACCAGCCAGACCCTGCTGCTGAGCTGAACCAAGCTGATTTTCCCTTGAGTCGTGCTTTAAGCCGTCGTTTATGCCTGCAACTAAGCCAATTTAGTTGCTCTAGTTAAGCCATTTCTATTTATTTGGTATTTTTTATTTAGTATTTTATTTTTGTTTTTTTTTAGTATTTTTTGCATGATTAAATTTAAAAAATTAATAAAAAATAAAAAAATTTTGAGAATAAATATTAATTATCCAATGATGGAGTTTATAAAAATTTCAAATGAAAAATTTTTATAAAATTTTTAGGTGAAAAATTGTCTAAATTTGTCCCAAATGGTAGAATAATTTAGATAAAGTTTTAATAACAATAATTAATATATTTTTTCAATAAAAAAATAAAAATAAAAAATAAAAATTTGGGTTGAAAATATTTGATAATTATCCAAAGATGAGAATCTTAAAAATTTCAAATGATAATTTTCTAATAAATCTCTAGATGAGAAATTTCTTTAAATTTGTCTTAAATTGTGAAAAATTTAAATGAAATTTCAATAAAAAATAATTGTCTTATTATTTTCTTTCCAAAAAAAATGAAAAATGAAAAAAATTTTCTAAATAGGCCCAAATGGTGAAAAATTTAGAAATTTCAAAAAGGAAAATATTTCTAAATTGACCCAAATGGTGAAAAATTTAGAAATAAAAAAAAATTCTAAATAGGTCTAAATGGTGAAAAATTTAGAAATTTTTAAAAAAATATTTCTAATTTGGCATAAATGGTAGAATAATTAGATATATTTTCAAAAATAAAAAATAATAAATAAGCCTTTTTTAGACGACGAAGCCTCTTCAAGGAAACAAATAGGATCCTTGAATACTCTTGAGGTGAAGAAATATTTTTAAGAGTTCTACCAGATTGATGGAGAATCTTAAGAATTATTTTTAATATTTAACATAAAAATTTGAAACCATTAGACTCAAGACTCAAGGATAAATTTAAAATAAAATGGTACCATCATTCGGATGGGTATGTGGGGGTGCTATAACCTTCTCCACTTGTAACCGAACTCTTGAACCCTATTCTAGTTTGTAGACCCAAACCTATTCTTTTATAGACCCTTAGTCAAGCTTAAGAGCTCTTTAAAAGGATAGATTCCTTAGGTGGCCAATTATACCTAGATAAAAAAGATTGGTAATGACTCTATTTGTTAAGTTTAGCTATAGATTTATGAATCTATATGTTATGATAGTATGGCGACTTCACTAGGGAGGCTAGAGAGTCAAGCCATAATTTTTGAATTTATCCTATTCTTTTGTTTAATGGTTTTAAATTGTAATTATTTGTTTACTAACATTTTTCCTTTTTTGTCTTTTTGTTTTTTATTTTTGGGTTATGAAACCTATATGTTCCTTCACACACTATCACATGCATTTGCATTATATGAGCTCTATGCTCAGGTTCCATCCTTTTTAGGAGGGAGTAAAGTATCTACGCTTTCGTGAGATGATAATCTTTATAATGGCTAATAAAATACTCCCACTCAAATTGAATCATTTTCATTGGTTGCCTGTGATAGGTGAGGATTGGACTGCTTTACTAGTCTGTGATGGACTATGATGTAAAGAATAATTTGAGAACCTTTAGTGGTCAAAATCACCTAACATAGTATATAGTGTACACTTAAGAGACCGGTCTTATGATAGAGCCATTCTTACCTGGTGATAAATGTAACCCGAAATTAAGACACAAAAAGAAACAATTTGTGATCTAACTATTTTGTTTGTTTGACTTTGTGCATTTGCATACATCATTTTCATTATCATAAGTAACATCGTGCATCTGTATCACTTTCATTTCATCCATGAAATTAACCATTTTGTTTGTTTGACTTTGTGCATTTGCATTACCATATCATGCATCATTTTCATTATCATATATAACATTCTATATCTATATCATTTTCATATTTCATTCATGAAAATGTACATTTCATTCATATATCAACATATCATGCATAAAGCATAACATTTATGATCATAATTATGGTACTCAAGGTTCAAGGATAGCTCCACCAAGTAATAACTCAACTCACCAATACAACATAAGAGCTTGAGCCAGACAAATAAAACAAAAAAATTTTGATCATCTTGAAAGGATAGAGAAAGCTCAAGATAAGCTAGAAGAGGAGTTGAATAAGATTTTAAAGGTTTTGATAAGTTAAACAATGGGAATAATGTAGAAGAAAATACTAGCCAGTATGATCTTTCATCATAAGAGGTGACTAATCCTATGTATCATCTTAGTTTTGGGCCTCGTCAAGCCCAGTTCACCAAAGATCCACCACCACAGTAGTTCATATATCCAGTAAGGTACACATACCCTAAAATGTCATCAACTTCAAACTCAAGGCAATACCAGAGTTGTATAAATCTTGTCTTTACTAAAAAGGTAGTAGAATCAATACCAATCCATAATTTGGATGATCCAAAAGAGAAAGAAAAGCTGAGGCTCAAGGAAAAAGAGACTTTAGAAGCCTCAAAAGTTGAACAGAAGATGAACTTGTTAGAGAAAAGGTTACGAGCCATAGAAGGTATTGGTTTTTATGGTTTAATAGATATTGTTGGGCTCTGTTTATTTCAGATATAGTTATCCCTTCGAAGTTTAAGGTTATGGAGTTCGAGAATTATGATGATAAATGTGTGAAGACACACATTACTATGTACTGTCGAAAGATGGTTGCCCATACCAATAATGAAAAACTATTAATGCATGTGTTCCAAGATAGCCTTACGGATTCTGCTGCTAGATGGTATATCTAGTTAGATAGGATCGATATTCGATCTTGGAGTGATATGAGCTATGACTTTATTAGTCAGTATTGGTATATCATAAACTTAGTCCCTAATCACATTTCTTTATAGAATATGGAAAAGAAAGTGATTGAATCATTTAAGGAATATGCCTAAAGGTGGAGGGATGTAGCTTCTCAAATACAATCTCTTTTAACTGAGAAAAAAACTATAGTATTATTCATCAGCACCTTGAAATCTTTTTATTATAAAAAGATGATAGGGAATGTAACAAAAAGTTTTGTTGACATGGTGATTTCAAGTGAAATCATTGAGAATGCCATTAAAAATGGTAAGTTA